GGGGGGAGGGAGAGAGACACGTGGAGAGAGAAGAGAAAGAGGGAGGGAGACAGGAAGAGGAAGAGAGAAAGAGACACAACAGAGAGAAACGGATGGAGAGGGAGGGAGACAGACAGAGAAAGAGGGAGGAAGAGAGAGAGGAGAAAAGGAGGAAAGGAGGGAGGGAGAGAGACAGAGAGACAGAGACAGAGAGGGAAGAAGAGAAAGAGAGACAGGCAGAAAGAGACACAGAGGAACAGAGAGAGAAAGAGAGCAAAAACAGAGAGACAGAAACAGGAGAGAGACAGCGGCAAAAAGAGAGACACACAGAGAGAAACAGAGAAAGGAGAAAGAGGGAGGGAAAGACAGAGAGAGAAATAAACAGAAACACAGAAACAGAGAGGAGAGAGGGAGGGAGGGAAGTCAGAAGAGAGAGAGAGAGAGTGCGGCGCACGTGTTGGGGGAGGGGCAGAACATTCTTTGAACACCTGGATCCAGCCTTGCCTGAGTCGCCTCTCTTGACTTGGGATGGTTTGAGTGGGGTTTCTGCACTTCCGGTAGTTCTGACGAAAGCAGCAAGCTTGTTTCACCCATTTGTCCGTGCCATCTCTCCCCCTGAACACCTGCTCCATACCAGCGCTTACACTGGCGGCCCGGCCCTCGGCTCTGAGGAGGAGGTGGCAGGGTGATCCAAGCTGTTTAGAGCCTGGGACTCCAGAGCTGTGTCCTGGTGGCAGTGGGTGTGAGCGTCTCTGTGTCATGGGGAAGGGGAATCCAGGCAGGCTGTGTGGAGGAGACGGCCCTTGGGCTGGTCTTTGAGGCGGAGGCAAGGTTTTGCTGGCTTGAGGGTCAGGGAGGGGGCCTCTCAGGGCAGGAGTCAGAAAGACAGGCGGGGAAGGCTGGAGTGCTGGAGCCGGGCAGAGGGGCTGGGGTTTTGCCGACCGTGATCACTGCCACGCCTGCTCACGCGGAAATGCACATTTCTCCAGCCAGCATTTCTCCCTCATTCTCTCCGCCTCCCTGCAGGGGAGTCCCGTGCATTATCTCCCTTTCGCAGGGAGGAGATAGAGACCCAGAGGGTTCACAGCCCTCTCAATGTTTTGCAAACACCAAGTGGACCGCTGGGCCTTCTGACTTGGATCCTGAGTTCTTTTTTCTTATTTTCTTGAGACAGTGTCTTGCTCTGTCACCGAGGCCCTGAGTGCAGTGGTGTGATGTAGCTCACTGCAGCCTTGACCCCCAGGGTTTAAGCAATCCTCCCGCCTCAGCCTCCCGAGTCCCCACAGGCATGAGTCCCCACTCCTGGCCAACCCCAGATTCTTGAACACTGAGGCCTGTGTATCACTCTCTGCAGTCCTGCATCTTTAGCCTTGGAGGCCAAAGACGGAGCCCTGGAGAATTCTGGAATGTCCGGTGTTGGGAGTGGGCGGGAGGAGGCTTGAGGGAGAGATTCGCCAAGATTGCCGTGGGACCCGCCAACCCCTCTGCCTGCCCCCGGTCTGCCTCCACCAACCTCTCATCTTCCTCCACGGCTGCCAGAGGGATGGCACTTTCCAGGGCACGTCTGCCTGGTCTTTGTGGCCGAACAGTCTGTGGTGCTCCCTCGGGTAAAGTCCAGACCCTTCCCCCAGCCTGTGCTTGTCCCTCTTGGCCCTGTCCACCTCTCAGCGTATTCTCTGGTGCCCGCCCTCCCCATACACCATGGTTAGCCTCGCCTCTGAGTCTGGAGCCCAGCGTTTCTCCCTCTGCAGGAGTCCGCCCAGTATCCCTCCTTCTGGCTCTTTCCTTGCCGTAGTGTCTTCAGGTGTGTGTCTGGTTCTCCAAATAGAATGTGAACCCCTTAAGAGCAGAAATCAGCACTTGTCGGCTGTGGCTCACGCCCGTCATCCTGGCACTTTGGGAGGCCAAGGTGGGAAGATCACTTGAGCCCAGGAGTTTGAGGCCAGCCTGGCCACATAGGGAGACCCTGTTTCTACAAAAAGGGAAAAAATTAGCTGGGCATGGTGGCACAGGCCTGTAGCCTCAGCTACTGGGGAGGTCGAGGAGGAAGGATCCCCTGAGTCCAGGAGTTTGAGACCAGCCGGGGCCACAGAGTGAGACCTCATCTCTATAAAACATAAAAAAGCAAGCAAACAAAACTAGCCAGGCATGGTGACATGTGCTTATAGTCCCAGCTACTCAGGAGGCCAAGGTGGGAGGACTGCTTGAGCCCAGGAAGCCATGATCATGTCACTGCATTCCAGTCTGGGTAACAGAGTGAACCCCAACAACAACAACAAAAAAGGGCCAGACGCTGTGGCTTGGCCTGTAATTCCAGCACTTTGGGAGACGGAGGCAAGAGGATTGTCTGAGTCCAAGGGTTCAAGACCCACCTGGGCAACTTGGTGAGACCTCATCTCTACAATAAATCAAAAAATTAGCCGAGTGTGGTGGTGTGCACCTGTAGTTCCAGCCACTTAGAAGGCTGAGGTGGAAGGATTGCAGGCTGAGGCGACAGTGGCTGTGAGCATGCCACTGCACTCCAGCCTAGGCAACAGAGTAAGACTGACCAAAAAAAAAAAAAAAAGGGAAGGAAGAAAGGATGGAAGAAAGAAAGAAAAAAGTACTTTTTCCCTTGTTTTATTATGAGGATATTTTTCTATTAATAGAGACTAGGTCTTGCTACTTTGCCCAGGCTGGTCTTGAACTCCTGGGCTCAACCAATCCTCCTGCCTTGGTTTCCCAAAGTGCTAGGTTACAGGTGTGAGCCACTGCACTCAGCCTAACCCAGACTTCAGCGCCTCCTGTCATGCTCTCCTGCCTCCAGCCACACACTTTTGCCCTTTACAGGAAGGAATGTAGGTGACAGCGCATGTCGTGAGCACTGCTTGTGGGCTGGCACTGCTTGTGGACTCTAGCCAGTGCCACTCACTCCAGCTTCTAGGGCCACCACCCCGTGGCCCTCCGTGGAGCACACACTGCCGCGGTCTCCCTACTGTCTCTAGAGCTGAGGATGCACGCCTGTCCCTGGCTACGCCTACTCCACCCGGTCCTGTTCCTAAGTTTCTAGGGACTCCCGCCAGGTGGACCCGCGCGGCCACGGCCCATCTCCGGCCCTGTGTTGGGTGGACGCAGGCCTGGTCTCCATCCAGGCTCCCTCCCCTCCCTTCTGAGTTCCTTTCCCGGGCGTATGTGCTGCTCTCCAAACAGGGAGAGGCCACGCTGCTTCTCTGTGCCTCAGTTTCCCATCTGTGGCGACCCTCATGGGTCACGTGGGGTGGAAAAGGCCACAGCAGATGGCCAGCACCATGATCCTGGGTGTCGGCGACTCAGGGTCCTGGGCAGCCCAAGGGAAGGCACTTCAGGCTCTGGACTCCCAAGGCCCAGGAGAGACGACGTGGCTGTCCCTCGAGGGCAGGAAGTGGCCGCCAGCATCCGCCCCAGCCTGCTTATGGAGCCCCAGCGCTAGGACAGAGGGGCTCCAGCTCCTGCTCCCGCTCCCCCCTCCTCCATCCCTCCTCCCTCCCTCCCTCTTCCTC